GGTAGACTGCAGCGAGAACTGCCAGCATCTGAGCCAGCCAGACTCTGTCTCTCTCATCATGGTCACCTAAATGCAGCGCACAGTCATGGCAGGTTTTGTAATAAGGCAGATTGCATTAACGGGAGAGGACGTGCAAACGTTACCGCTGCTGCTGGGTTGAGATTCACGAGTCCGGAGCAGAATTAAAAACATGACATTCATTTAAGGTTATCGTGTGTTTTGTGAGCAAATGCTTTTGCATATTCGTAGTGTTTCCTTCCTTAAATGAAATATCTACTTTGCAAGTATTGCAAGTTGCCCTGCTGTCATCCGTTCTCGTAAAGTATAATCAAACTTTTGAGCGTTTGAGCTGCCATGTTTACTGCCAGGTAAATGACGCTCCGCAACGTGGTGACGTCATTCCGGGCGACTGGAATCGATAAGGGAATCGTTTGCAAAAAATGGCAAACAATTCCAAGGAATTGAAACAGTGGTTCTCAACAAGAAACTGTTTTCGATACCCATCCCTATTGAGCACGTATCAAGATAAATGAACACCATGAAAAACAAATTAAAACACTGGACTCCATCAGTATACTGGTGGTGTATTATCCTGCAGCCCTGCATCTTCTTTGCAAGACCTCTGATCAAGTGGATATTCCTTTGCTTTCTGTTCACAGAAATCTTTCCAGTAAAGGTTAATTGTAATGCCCATTCTTTTTTACTTTACCAAGCTAGTGCTGATTCTATTACTAATGAGGGTCAAGAATAAATCTTCCATGGGCAACCAACAGTTCATTTTAAACTATGTGATGATAGCTACATTTCTTAACTGCAGCTGCTAAAAAGAAGCTCCATATTTGGTTTGGGCTGATTCAATCACACTGGCACTTGGGAATGTTAATGTGACATTGAAGCAGACAGGAGAACATCAAGCTGGGAGCACACCAGGAAGAGGAAAAAAAATAAAATAAAATAAAAAAACCTGTCGAGGTAACCACAGGGACCAATTAAAAGGTCCTCATCAATTTTTAATGTTCACACTTCACCTGTCAGTCAGGCATTTTACTGTCGGACTTGTAAGCAAAACTGATAACTTAGCACGGCCAGAGAGAGTCATGTTAAAACACTTACATTTAACGTTGACGCTCTAAAGCAAATAGTTTCTGGCTCTGAATTCACAATAGGTGTGAATTCAAGTGTGAATGGTTGACCGTTTTTCCCTGTGTCGGCCATGCAACCTGTCCTCGATGTACCCCACCTCTTGCCCTATGGTAGCTGGGGAGCAACCCTGGGAACTCTGAAATGGAAAAGTGCAACATATGGATGGATGAAAATAATAAAATGCAACTGAATGGGAGCTGATGGTGCTTGGTTAGAAAAAAAGAAATCCAAAAAAGAAATCTTCATTTGGTGGTTGAGTTGAGAATTTGTGGGCTCTCTGGGCGACTTTCCTTCTTCTCTGCAGTAGGTAATTTATAACCCTGCCTGAGTACAGTGTCTAGGACCGGAGCCTGGATCAGACTGTGACCAGCGACAGAGCCAGTGGATCACCATAAATCTTTACTGATTGAATGCAAATTGGAAAAGTACATTATGTATGTCAGTAAACATCAGGAGAATAAAGCTTGCGCAACAAATGCATACAGCATGTGCATGCCTATTCTCCAAATATGTAAGCCTTATTTTATGTGCTCGTGTTTGCATGTGTACATGCAAGTGTTGGTAAGAAGGCAAGCAGCTGCAATTTATAGGCTACATAGCGGCTAACACATTTGCATTATAAATCTCAATTACATAGCATTATTTGCTTACTGGCCCCTCAGATGTAATTCTCATAAGGTGCCCTGCAGAGGAGGGTCATAAATTCTTAATAAACTGCAGTGCAGACCTTTGTACAGCAATGACCTAAATCCTGCAGCTCATCTCTGCACTACACTCATTTCTTTAAATTTTAATAAGGCTCCATTACACATATTTAACAGTTTCTCAAAAACCCCAACCTAGACCATGTCCACCTGCACAGTTCTTTTGAACACAGCACTCGTGTACCAAGCATATCATGACACAGTTGTACAAAGAAGAAATGTGGGGTGAGATGCTGTGCTATCAGTCTGGGACCATCTGCCAATGTGTTTTATATGAGGAGCAAACCCTCACAGGCCCTGCAGGCCAGAGGCACAGAGCGCAAGTGATTAATATGCCTAGGTTAATGAGCAGTCCCAGCTTTGCCTTTGCTTCTCAGACTCTGTCAGTCTATGTGCATCCTGGTAGTGATTCATTTAACCACTGCTGATGGAGTATGCAGACCATCCTATAGCGCACTGCCTTTGCTGCAAGTGGGCCTGTGGCATCTCCTGCTTTGTTAAAGATATGGCCCTAAAAATAAACAGCCTGCGTAAATAAATTTTTAAAAACGGCCACCTGGCAATTATGCTGCTAATTAAAAGGCGAAGCACTCTTAATAGATTCATCTCTCAGGAGAGACATACTTCTCTCAACGCAAATGCAATGCCCCCTTTTTCTCTCTTCCCCATCTCCATCATTCCCCTCGTCTCTACCCCATGTCCATCCCTGGGAGCCTTGGCTGATGTGTTATGGGAGAGTGTCGCCTGATCTGCGAGTGTTTTGGTCTCTGCTGAGAGAGAAAGGCTAAGAGGGACAGCTGGATGGGTTCAGAGGCTGAAGGGGTCCTCACTCTTGGCAAAGACTTCTGTTTCAACAGCCAAAGCTCTTCATTTATTCATACTTTGAGTGCCTCCAACCCCAAAATCCTCTCATAGTGCGTACACATAACCAAAACACACATACACAGAAAAGAAAGAAACAAGTACCTACAATGAGTTTAGTACATAAATGCAAAATAGGTACCTGAATCTATTACATCCACACACACAGACTGCCAAATGGAGAAGCATGTCAGTCAACAGACATGATTGCATGCAGGCATGCACACACAGATATGCACACTCACACCTGCACAGTTACCCATCTGTTTTCTTTGGGGGATAGCGCTGTTTTCCTTAAAGTGAATAAGCATCTTTAAAAGCAGCACTGAGGCATATAAAAGTCACTTTCCAGAGCTTATTCCCTATTCAGATGATTCAAATGCAATTAGGTCAGTACAGGTAGCACTGTTACTTTTTGATAGACGTGGGGTTGTAATATTAAGGATCTGAGGCCATCTTAAATAAAACATCAGATATGCAGGGTATTAGGAGGCCAGCAGCTCATTATGTCAGACCATAGGGGGGTGGAATCTGCTTAAAGCTGAATGCAGATGTTTCTGCTACAAGAAGGAATAACCACGACCTCTCCCTGTGCAGGAAATATGGAAAGGATACTTGAAAAACCTCTTCCCATTTGAATCAGAGGGGAAATAAAGGTTACAGGAATTGGCAGTTCGCCACTTAAAGTACATGTATAGTAAGTAATTAGAAACAGATAAATCCCAAATCAGCTTGTAAACTTATTGCCCTGAAGTATTTAATTTAAACTCTAAAAGAAACAAACAGGCTTCTACCTTTTGCAGCATTTCACCTATATTATCAGCTGTAAAAGAACTGTTAAAGTTTTGATAAAACTCGTTGGCTTCGACATCTAAAATGAGTGAGTGCCTTTCTGAGTGACTGTGTTCTTGAATACAAGTTGACAAAACCCACAGCTATTATAGTCAAACCACAAAGAGCAAGTGATGTATTTAAGGGAGAAAGCCTCAAACTGACAACTGTGTCTTGTTAAAAACATAACTAAACTCTTCCGTGATTTCACACCAAAATGTATACATGTTGGAGAGAAAAAGGAAAGCCCCAGCGTTAGAGACGGCACATGAATAAGTTGGGGGATAAATCATGTAACATGTCTCCCTGTGGAGCGCTACAGTGCAAGTATTTAAGTGAAATATGAGGCCATGGATAATTGAATGTGTGTTTCCTGATGTCAAGGACCATAGTCACTGGGGCAGGGAATAGATGTGAACAAGTGATGGAAGTGGGAGGGGGGAGATGAAAGAATGAGGGTTTAACACTGAAAGAAATGGTAAATACTGGTAAGGATTGCATCACAGTCACACAACACTTTGCAGTTAATGTCTGAAAGGACCCCACAGCGCAAGCCTGTTTCTTTGATTTGCTTCTAAATAGACAAAAGAACAAATAAAAGAAAGAAGTATTGGGGGGGGGGAGAGAGTAATTCATGTAGTGGATGTTTTCTGTTTTTGTCTGTTAAAGTTTTGTCAAAGGAAAAAAAAAAAAGAAAAGCTTTGCAAATTCAGGTAATGAAGACCTTGACAGTACACCACCATGTAACTTGAAACACGAATTGTTATGTACTACTGTTATTTATTTATTTTTTTGAACAAAACAAAAAAATAACTTTAGAAGACCTGATCACAGGGTGCCAAAGGAACTCTTCGGGGAGGGGTTTGCATTGCCAAATGTTGTAATGCACGGAAAGATGTGGTGATATGAATGAATAGGACTTTAGAGAAACTAAACAAGAGTATTCCAATGCCAGCAGGCAGACCTTTACCATTTTCAATTAAAATTGTGTGTGTTTGTCTTTAAATGATGAACATCTAATCTAATTTGTAGCATTACACAAACTAATCAAAATGTTAATAATTTTCCATGTAGTCTGAAACATGTGCCACTGATCTGAGATTGGTCCCATTTTACATTATGTACGAGTTAAAATGTTCTGAAACAGAACAAAATCTTTTATGTTACTACCTTACGAAGCTAAACATACTCTGATGTTAAGAATGAAGCTGTAGTCTACAGATTAATATTAACTTACATGGTCAGCGATGGTGCGGCCCAGCTTGTCCATTCTTGATCCTGCCTCAGCAATTTTCTTGGCAGCGCTAATGACATCAGACGTATTCTTCAGCGGCCCTTTTCCCCTGAGGAGAAGACGTGGAAAGATCAGTGACTGTTTTTGATATATTGCAAGCTCATTCAATATGCAGGAGCAGCTGTTTGTTTTAGAGACCTCTTTTTCGGTCAGAAGCAAGAATGTATCGTGAACCGGGAACACCTCAGGGAAACGGCACCAAATTCAAAGTGCACGCTGGTACACACATGTCCATACACATAAAACACTCTGGCATCATGCTGTTCTGTCAGGGATGAGAATGTGTTATAGTCCTTTAAAGTCAGAGGTTAGACTTTAAGTTTATTCTCAAAGAACTGGACTATAACACTGCACCATCAAACTCTTGTAGCACCTACATGACTTCTTATAAGATCAAGTTTTCAACTCATTTTTCCTTTGTGTTCAGTCTAATAAAACGCATATTAGCTTGAAAAAATATGCATAAAATTTACTGATGAACTGACAACACTTTGTTTCTCCACAAACTGCTTGGAAATAAACTGTCTAGAGGCGATTATATAGCACCACATGCCTTCTATCACAACAGAAAATATAAGAAAAATCTACTTAGAAACTTTTAAGCAACTTTGAAGTGTTTATCACAGTGCTAAGACACAGGACAAAGGTTGATAACACAGGGGCAAGAGAATTTTTGGATAAAGATTGCGCAATAAGTTAAATATTTTTAGGTTGCCGAGGTAGTTCTGTGCTTCTGGTCACTTGGCTCCATACTTGGTACGGTAAGCTGCCACTGTTCGTCTCTAGTTGCTGGAAGACTTTCTCATCTTCACTTCTAGAGAAGTGTAACAGTTTTTAATAAACAAATAATTGTGTTACCCTGTTAAATTAACAATCTCCATTTATATTACACATGGACGCAACTGATTACATTTGTTGCAACACTCCCACATTGTTGTTTTATTATTTGCCATTGCAAGCCTTAACGTAATGATAACTTGAAGACAGCTAATGTGGCTATCGGACAAAGTACTTTAGACTACTCCCTTATTTCCCAAGGGAATGTCACACTGGATGGACAAGCATACTTGATTTGGCAGACTTCACACCGGATACCATTCCTGATGCAACCCTCCCATTTATCCGAGCCTGGCACTAGCACTAAAAGGACACTAGCCTGTGAGCCCCTGAGGTTGGGTTTGTTTATATTGGGTAATTCTTAAGCCAGGTTGATAACTTTTTAATATTGCTCAAATGGAAACTTTACTGACTTCTTCCAGGGTTTGTCTGCCCACCTGCATGCAGCACTGCCATGTAAAGTTGTCAACATACTACTGAATGAGTCTTAAATCCAATTTATTTGTTTTTGCGTGATCAATTAGTATCCAAGTTTTTCTTTCACACACCAACTTCTCTCTCTTTTTTCCCCATCCAAGTTGGAGACAAAGAAGGCAGGAAGAGAAGGCAAGAGAATTGAAAGCAGCAAAATTGGAATCCAATTCAATTTAAGGCCTTTGGTCATTGCCACAGTATTACACATCCATTTCTGACCCGTCCTGAGCCAAACAAAGCCCATCCCAGCACAGGTCAATCCAGCCCTGACCTGACCCACTGTAAAGCTTATCAGCCATTTGCCACTTTTCTGCCCCCCCAAGGGACTCTGGGACACAGTTGGCAAGAGGCACAAATTGGATTCAAAGCTTCTCTCTTCAGGCTAAAAAAATGAGCCATCCAACCCAGAACAGATGGAATTTTGTGTTCTGTTCTCTTGCTTCCTCTTCCCTCTCCTCTCATCTCCAACCCTTCCCTTCTCATGCTCTCCCTCTGCTGCTCTGATGTAAAGCAAGCCAGAGTCCTAGTGGAAAAGGCCACGCGTCAGTGCACATACTGGAAGCTCCCTGGGGACAAGTCAACCCCTGGAGATAGAGCTAACGGTGCTGTGACGATATTTAGAAAAAGATTTGTAGGTTGGTAATATAATACAGAAGTTTGCCCCCAAAAAACACATTAGAATACATAAACACGGTAATCATTTTTATACTGCGAATATATACCTATGATGTCCTCCTTAAAAAAAATTGTTTAAAGCAAAAGAATTAAAGCATCATTTTCCATATCTGTCCACACAGCTGTCCGTGTGTCAATGTGAAGCATCCCACATCAAAAGACTGTGACAGGTGGCTTTCAAATATGTTGCATGTTCTCAAGCTATACACATATGCCTTATTCATGAGAGCTGCCATACAGCCATAAGCGATGCAGAGTCAACAAGGATCTCAGTCACTCTCTGCAGATTTGTCAGGAGGGAGGTCTGGATCAATTACCTCATACAGCATTAACCTTGGCAGTGCTTTGTGCCAGCTCAAGGTTGTGGGGGCAATAATTTGGACGCGGGCTGAATTAGCCAACTACTGACCTTCCATGTGCTACCACTGCATGTGAGAGTGAAGGCATAATGTGAAGATATTTATTCTGCCTGACAAATGACCATGCGTGTTCCCTCAGTCGACCAACCCGCGCGCACACATACACAGACGGATGTGAGACAAGCGTACACAGAGTCAATTCCAAACTCCCTGACAGTGCCAAATAAGAAAAGCCACAATGCTAAGTTATGGGATTAAATGAACAACTTCCACACAGTTACTGTGTGGACTGTTAAAACTATTTGTAAAGCATCATTTTCAATTTATTTCAAATGGCAGTAACATAGCAGAGAGGATATAATGTGCTAATTGGAAGAAGTATGACTTATATGTATAAATTCAATTCAAATATTCAAAGGATAAATAAAGAAATTGCATATAAGGTCAGCAGCTCATCACATTGATGAAGGTGCCTCATTTTCTATCTAATAGAGCACAGCATTTCTCTTTTATTACTCACATAAAAATAGTCCATGAGTTACCATTCACTGAAGTTTAACTGGGTTAATAAATTGACTTTGTGATTTCATTTTGCAAACTGTAAGAGAGGTGAAAGGCTACAAACAAAGCAACTCATCAAATGTTCACTCACATTCATACTGCCATTTCAGTATTTAAGTACTGACTGAAATTCTCAAAGATTTATTAGTCATGCTTATTTTTATTATAGCTTTGTCAATATTTGGCTGAAAACGTATAACTAAAATATTTTCGAATATGATAAAATGCATTTGTTAGATAAATAATGAAAGCTTAAGTAGGCATGTGGCTGTCCGAGTTCACTAAAAAGCACTGATTTTAGTCCAGGATGAGCAGTATCATCTGCATGTCATGTAAAAAATTTTCTCTTAATCCTCTGCATGAATAAGAAGTACTGCAAGCAAACATGACTGGTTCCTATTTAACCCTGGTCAGATTGCTGGTTATGTCAGTATTTCAAATCCTCTACAGCTTTCCAGCAATTCACTTTTTTTGGCCAAGGAGACGGGATCTTTGACCCATTCAGAAGATTAAGATAGAGAGGCAGCATTTCATCATCATTACGGAGGTGACTCAGAGTTAGACACACAACGTCCTCTGAGTAATTCACTTGAAAATTTAAAAAGGCACAGCCATACAAATATAGTCAGACGCAAATACAGGCAGCCAGTCAAAATGTCCACTTGTGCATGCCAACATACAAATGCACTCACACTGTAAGCTAGAAGGTAATGTAGAGATGGTGATGTTGGTGAACCATAATCAGTAATCCCTTTGGACAAGCCCCCACTGTGTACTTGGCAAGGGTCACGATTTACACTTTTCTATCATCAGCGGGTGAGAGAAAAAGCCAGTATCACATCCTTTGTGAATTTTCAAGGTCCTGAACTTACGTGTATATCCAACAATGAAACAACAATAAAGAAAGCCGTCGCATGCAGCACTGAGAACTTCATCACTGAATTTGTAGTTTATGGTTTGATGCGTTTTGATGTGAAGTGAAAGCCAACAAATCTGTTAGCAAATGGCAAAGACCAGGATGAACTGAAAAAGAGCCAAATTTCTAATGAGGCCTTTGGAGGGTACTGGCTGCTACTTCTGTACAAAGGTGTGTATGTTGCTGCAGAGTCAGAGCCAAGAGTGGCAAGATCTCTTATGTCAACAGGTTCACTAAAACAGACTTGATGAAAATTTCAGGATAAGGCCATGTTTAACTACATTTGCTACCATTTGTCCACAAGACTATCTGGGCTCAACACACTAAGGTCAATCTTTTCTCATTTTGCTGCTGATACAGAGTTTGCACATAGAAGTTTAGCAAATTTAGGCACTATTCACCATCTATAGCATAAAAACGCATGTCCCAAATGTGCACAAAAAAAGACCGTGTACAGGTAAAAAAAAACAAAAAAAAACAACACTGGGAATCTACTACTTACTTCAAGCTCACTTCCACTTCCAAGTAGTTTGCATGTTGACAAAAAATGCTGATTTAGACAGTAATTACACGTGGCTGACCAGCTTATAACATTAAATCATGACATTTAACAGGTCTTTATTTTACTTTCCTTAGACCCATAGCTCAAATGTAGTCTCTCTTTTTTGGTGTAAAATGTCTCACCTGTCCCTGCTGAGCTCTTCACCTCTTGAACCATTTACCAAGAGTGAATACAGCCACTTTAGAGCAGCTCTGTGGATGGAGAATCCCCACTTCCAGAGCTTTATTCATATACCAGAAGAGAGGGAGATCTGACACACTGCTTATGGCTGTGCATATTAAGATTAAAGGAGGACTGAAAAATAATCAAGCACAAAATCCTACCAACAGTGCTGCTCAAGGAAAAGGGCACTGATGCATGAATGGTACTGCTAAACTAGGTGCACAGCATTGTGCAGATATGGGCAAATGTTGGGAAAACAAATGTAGGCTTACTGGCTGATTGTATTTGACACAGGCTTAAGTTAAATATGCAATCTGACTTGGAAGGCATTTTGCCTGAAGTGCACAACAACAGAATATTAATGCGAGCAAGAGGGAAGTTGACATGCAGCACGTATTTTGTCCCCGTGCAAGTACATGAAAGTAATTACCAATCAAAGGTATTCTTTAAAGCAGTCCACTAACACTAACCTGGTGAAGTCTGTCATCTCCATCATGATCATGCACATCTGCTTGGCCAACACAATGATGTCATTGCCACTGTCGTCCCACTTGGATACCTCTGCATCCAGCTTGCTCTTCTCTTCCTGGAAGCTGGCCACCTGCTCAGCAATCTTTGCCTTCTGCTCCTGGGGCAACTGAGCCATGATAGCCTGAAGGAGGATTTATGAAAAGCATGGATGGTTAGCAAACTAGACCCAAACATACTGTTGCTGATACCATGAACATAAGTTTGGCGGCCATAATCAATGAGTGAGTCTTGTTCGAAACCACGCCTGAGAATATCAAGGCAGCAAGATATCCTACACAACTGTGTGACCCTTTATTTAGAATTTAAACACATGCATGATTGTTCACTATTTGGTGTGTAACTTGCTTTTCAGCAATGTGCCTGAATAACGGTTGCCTGAAGTATCCTCTGAATAAATAAGTAAATAATATTGTTCTCTCATCCCCAAAATTCAAAGCTGGGTTCAAAATTATGTTCAGAGCAAGTGAGTCATATGTAACATATCTTGGAAAAATATGAACTCACCACCTCTGGCCACTGAAGACCAGTATAAGGGGAGTTAGTTACAACTACTTTATTCACGTTAAGATGTATTTATCACCATATTTATCCATCCTTTTGGACTGGAGAGTAAGAGGGCAGCTTCCAAAAAAGGCAATCAGACATCAGCCATTCAGTGAATGAGCCTGTCAGGCCAAAGTAGGCAGACACTTAAGAGCAGGAAATCCAATATCATCACACAAGTGTTCATTCTATTGCTGATAAATGGGACCCTCTCTCTAGAGGCACATAAGCTTCAAAAGAGCTGTTTATGCAGTGCACAGATGGAAAGACTGTACCTAACAAAATAGATCATCTTTGGCGATTTAAAAACAACAACAACAACAAAAACACTTGAAATGTACCAATGGAGCCATGAGGGATTTTTGAGATCAAGACATGTACAATCTCTCTATATTCTTAAGATATATAAAGTTACAAGTTTAACCTTAAATTTAACAAATTTGGTGCGTAGTACAAATACTGTAGAACTGCAGTTCTGTCCTATCCAAGTGAATGTTGTATTAAAGTAATCTCATGACAAAAGAACACACAAAGCTGGTGTCCAGAGGCACAAAAGATTGGATTCGCAGTGTGTTACACCACGCAGGGAAAACAAAATAACTAGCTGCTCAGTCTTTTTTGGGTAGTTCACAGAGTGCAGACTGCTCAGTCAACAAACATTCACTGGTTCCGTCTGTGACATGGTATCTAAGAGCCAGATGGCATGGATGACTGAAGGAAAGCAAACTGGAGGACGTAATTCACACAATAAGTCAACTTTAAAGTACTGACTTCAAAGTTGACTTATTATCGTCATTTCTTAAAAATTTTAAATTTATTCCAACTCATCTGCATACATGTGTTGTTGCTGAGCTTTATATTTGCCTGCTTTTATTACATTTCTAATCTATGCTTAAAGGTGAGTGAAGAATGTCTCTGTTGCCATGAATACTGTTAAAAAGGTCATTTGCAGTGAAAAACCTCTATTTTTAAAACAGCTAAAATGAGTGAGCAAAAGATTCTGGAGTCACCAACTGTCTTCGGGTAATTAATATAGCTTATAAACAGGTTTACGTGTGCACAAGAGCTTGCATGACTCAGAATAAAAAAAAAAAAAAAGCTGCTTGGCTACTATGACACTTTTCTTCAATAACATTTTAATGATAGATTAATGGGGCCAAATATTAAGAAAAATATCTTAAAGATGCCAGTTTCCTTAAAACTCATGTAAAGTTTTGATCCTCCAGCATTGCTCTGTATCGATAGAACAGCTCATCTTTTAGCATTAGCCAAAAAGTGTCATACTCATCTATAGCCATGCATTCTTTGAGAAACAGAAAAAGTAAGTAAAAGCATAACAGGTCCATTTTAAGTTGAATATAAGAGCTCTATATGGTTAAACCTTTTTCCCCCCATAACTTGAGCTATTGAGAAGACAAGCCATCATCACCAAGTACGTGGGTGAAGTGTTTGAAAAATAAACAATGGCTGGGACAGCATTAATATTAGAATACTGTTAAAAAAGACTAAATATTTCCTGCAAATATAGAAAGACTAATGTATTGGTTCTACTTTTCTCATCTTCAAATTTCATTAGAGATATAAAATTGCTCTTCAAATAAACTATTCCAATTGATGTTATTGCACCAGTCAAGTGATATTCGTATATTTTTAAACCTACCATACACACACACACACACACACACACACACACAAAAATTATAGAGTTGGATGACAATATTCAACTGTGATACTGAAATATGCAGTATCACAGCTAATATTTAACCATGTAAAAATACAGTTAAGCCACACACTGAAGCAACCCATTTTCTCATAGGAAAATACATTTTTGAGATGCGTTTCTTTCTGGGATATTTCACAATTTTTCCCAAAGTATTGTTGCAATTTGATGACCCTTCGTTTTAGAGGAAGAGGAGTAAATACAGAATCATAACCTCTGAACAACATACCCGTGCACTTTGGCCAGCAATAAGCTGGTCATCCTCTGTCTGCACACTGGTCCTGCTGCGAACATCAAAGTCTTCAGTCTCAAAGTCAGAGTCATCCAATTCCTCTGGAGTCTGTAACAGGACAACAGAGCATGAGAAGATGTCAAAAGAAAGACAAACATCCCAAAAAAAAAAAAAAGTCCAGGAGGAGGGGAGAAAAGAAAAATGGGAGATGAAGTAGAATAAGGTAAGAAAAAGCTGTTTGTACATAAGTGGGGAACATAAAATAATATTGGCATACTACAGCATTGTGAACACTATTAAATAGCAAAACTGCTTACCATCTATGAGAAATGCCTTAGTGCTGCCAGACAGGGCAGCATGAGATAAATGTCTACCCTCTCCACAGCTTGGTAGAGAAACTGTAAACTCCAAATGAATTTGTAAATCAAGTGTAATGTGCTGCCTGTGCATCTTGAGAGGGAAAATGAAGGTATGAGCTGGTACGAAACATATTGGGAGCAAAACACTTTAGAGGCCCATCTGTCGCTATCTGCAGAAAGGCGAGTGAGGCATGAATTGTGTTTTTCTAGAATTTTGCCACTTCATCTCAGATCCTTTACCTCTTGCCCTGAATGCAAAACAAGCCACAGGGAACAATTTGCCATATTATTAATATATAAAATGAACTTTATCTTTGCCGGTTATGCTTCAGGCAAGATACAATATTAAGTGATAGGCAAAAGTTAGTTGATATGTAGGAACAGGGGAGATGATGTGGACAGATAAAGGGACATTAGGATGCAGACGCCCTGGCTTGTGCTTATCCAGCTTTCTCACTACCTCCTTTCTGTAATGAAAAAATAGTTTAAAGTCTCTGAACAATCTTACTCTGCTTTAGGGAATGTAGAGATGTTCTTGTACTCAAGGGAATATGGGTATGGTTTCAGATACAAAAGCTGTAGTGACTCATCGGCATCGCTTTCAACTCAGACAATGCTGTTCAGTGGGGCAGAGATATCACCTGCTGCGGCCTGTGCAACAGATAACCTGTGAACGTGGGAGGCTCAGAAATCATAACTCATGGTGGGCACCCAGTGGGAAACTACTGTGAGAAGTGACAACAATAGCCTGCAGTCTAAAAAAAGACAACATATTGAAAACCTGCTGTCAAGGTAAATGAAGTTAAAACCCACTTTTTCCACATTGTGGGAAAATATGTTAATCAGGTTTTTAGGTGATAATTCTCTGTATTTCTACCGTATCTGAAAGCTGCAATTATCCATGTCACCTGTAACGCCTTCATGACGCATACATGTACAGATGATATCTGAAATGCAATAATTACAAGTGTACAGGGCAAGAGGTGAAATTATAGCATTATGACAGAGCTGGAAAACAGACATAGCCTTAACCAGAATTTTTTTTCCCCTCCTGTTGTAAATATGAATGAGACAGTTCAACACTGAAATAACCCCAGTTTTATTCTTTTTGTGACATTCTGCTCATAGCCTCTGTGGATCGAGAAAATTTTTTCTTCTTTTAGGACAGAGGCAGCAAAATCACCTTGGGCTGTGATGCACCGCACAAATCATACGGTAACAGCTGCCCTCTGTATCTAACTGTCAGTGGCTCGCTGACTTCGAGACCGTTTCATGTCTAGGAGGCATATTCTCTGATGTCACTGGAGGTTGGGAGAGGGGTCTGTCTGCCTGTCAAATATTCAAGGGACATCTAACAGACTGTCTGTGCACTACTTATAGAGGTTAAAGATGAGTCTATCTTAAGCAGCCCCAACCACACTCTTGTCTGTTTTGATTTAAGACTAGGGCCTTGCATGTGGGGATTTTTAGAAAGACAGCAAGAGGGTGGGGTTTGTACATGTGAGTGGACATGCCCTGAAGAGAAGATGTCTCGTGGCCATCTCAGCGCAGCTGTTAGGAGGATTTCATATTTCTTTGGATTCAGAATTGAACGTGCCCACAGAAAAACCCTTGAATGACAGTTTAGCCTGCAATTGAATCAGTCTAGATCAATGCTTTTGATACGCCTTTAATCTTATTATAACAAACAGTAATTAAGACTAAGATTAAAGAGTGTGCTGTGTAGATGCTGCTTGAAATAACATAAATGCAGAGATAACACTAATCCATTTTTTTTCCTTTGCCTTCTCTAGAAAGTGGTGGGTGAAGGTTCAATCTCATCAGTCTCTCCAGCTGGCACTTAAAGGCAGAATAAAGCTAACAGATACATTATGAGCAAAGCTGCTTAATAAGTCCCGTTAACAGTCACACACGCCAAATTACACCTGCCCACAAATCTACCAGGTAGTGTTCAGCCCAAACCATAAGCCCAATGTTCACCGCTGGGTCTGAAACAAAAAGGGTAAGAAGAGTGGAGCTAGGGCAGATGGAAATTAGTCTTAAAATATAGTTCTTTGGCTTGCAATTCAATTAAGGAAAGCCAATTAAACCCTCCATCTTAAATCATTCACTTATTAAAATTCAAAAGCAGGATAATGTTCCTCTTTTCATTTGTTATTGCTTTTTTTTGTTTGTGGTTGAGCAGGATTATTAATAAGAGTTAAGGACCACTGTCAAAACAAAATGTGCTCTCAAGGCTAGTGTTTTCAATTAAAAAAAATGTGTTGAAAATAATAGAAGACAGCAACCAGCACTTTGTATCTTAGTGTGATAAATACATAATTTGGTACTGTTAAACATGACAAGTGGTTTAAAGAAATTTGCTCCCTACTGAGAAATCAAATTTGGCAGTTTCAGGTACTTTAGCTACAGGGGGTAATATGTTGAAAGACAAAAAAAAACAAAAAACAAAAAAAAAACAAATTTCCCCCAGAATCTTATTTCCTACAGGCTGTGTGGGTTTCCCCCCTTCCCTTTTCTTTATTTTAGAGGAAATATGGATTGAGTCCATTTGTGATTGAATGCCCAAACTGTTCTTAGTGATCCTATGATGAAACGTTTTACCCTGATGGAAATGTTTTCTTCATCCATGGGACACAAGTAAAAGGCATTATGCCACAGACAACTAAACCCATTGTTACCCGAAATTGCAAGTCTGGTCAATTAGGTTGGCCGCTGCCTGAGACAAGTTAATCATAGGTTCCCAAGACTGCATGTGTACAGGTTCTCACAATTATAGATAAAAAGCTAATCTGGATATTACTACTCATGTGGCAACAATAGAGCAACTCCAAGCATATGACTTCTGTTCAAAAGCTGTTAAAAACCACATCAAAAATCCTCCATCAGAACTCTCACTGTCACAATTTGAAAGAGAAAAATAGATGACAATATGAAGCCTTACTTTGCATTAGAAATAATAAATTCGATTTTTAAAAAAAAGAAAAAAAAACATGCAAACAAAAACAAAACTGTGCAACTTACTCTGATCATGAGGACAGCCTTACGGATGTCACGAATGCCATCATACACCAGGCGCGATGCATCAATGAATTCGTTCTCATCCACAGGCTGTGAGGGGTTTGCACTCAAGGCTTCCACTGCAGACTCCACTTGCTCTGTAAACCGTGGCATGACTACAGGAAGCAAAAAATGAAGTTGATCAGTTCCTTTATCAATCTGATGTGGCTTTTCCTGACAGCTGTATGTTGAAATAATTGTGTCGGCAGTGTAAACCGTACACAACTCACTAACATGTAAGCCTCATTTCTACCGTTTCTGTACTGTCAGAAACAAATAATAAAGCAGCTGTATTGATGCTGAAAACCTCTGTAGGTCTTTTTTTTCCTACAGTAAAAACTGATCAGATAGCGTTCCATAAGCAGAACTGACAATGTTGTTAGATACACTTCTGTAAATATTTATCCTTATATCAGAGCAATTTACCTTGGGCCTATTTTTCATTTTACATCCATCACATTTCTCTCAGTGTAACTTGGGTTATAAAGCTACTTGACACATACTGTTAGTCTAGTAAGGAAATTACATTAATCGACTTATCAGTATCAATCGCCCCAGTGATAATATTGAACAATAGTTCTGGTCTGATGTTGAATTAAAATTAAATGCAAACGAAGATAGTGGTGTCAGAATTCATAATTACAAAGTGTTATATTAAACCTAATGAAATTTGCACTGGTGTCTACTCAATGCCTTAAATGAATGCACAGAATGCTCTGGAGGACTCACCAGGACATATGCATAGACACCACTTAAAGCACTGCATTAAGAGAGTTGCATTTTGCTGCAACTTCATGAGAACATCATGGGTGTCAAGATGCAAATGTTGAGGGAGGGAGCAGCAGGATTAAAAAGCAGATTTGGTTTTGTGTTTACAACCTCCAGGCTTTTTCAGTCAGTGATTACTCTCCTTAAACTATCACAATTGACTCTTTCAAGTAAGTTCCCATAAAAAAAAAAAGTGTTAATAAATAACTGTATTGTTAGTGAATCCATAGATAATGAACTTTAAACATTCTTACTAACTGGAGGAAAACATTGTATAAATGCACCTCAACATTCAGACAAACTGAAAATGGAGGCTAATAAAGATTTTTTTTGCCCTGGTGAATATTGTTTCCCCCTATTGCATTGCAAAATATTTTTTGGAATTTGTCCTTTGAAGGACAAAAAACCTTCACACATTAAACTGCAATATAATAGCACAGGTGGAAGGAACTGTAATATGACTCAGTCTTTGAACCTATGACAGATTGATTACGTCATAATTTGGATTAAAACTGAATACTACTGAAGGGTTAACAGTGACCGTCATGTCATACTGACTAGTAATGCAAGCTGTGTGAGAGACCATATCACACAATGCACCATAATGAATTGTGGAAGAGCTCAAAATGTCTCAGGCTCATTCAACAGAAAATTGCATTTCACAAGCCAATTCTAGATTCATACAAGTTGCCTTTTAAAATGCCACCAGCACTCAAATGCTCAAAAACATCCAAAGCAAAGACAAATCAAATAAAGGGCAGACTTCTGAGAAACAACTTTGCAGGCAGATACTAGTGTGGTTTTAGCACCAGGCAATGTACCAAAGATAAAGTGGATGGAGCAGGGTCTCTCCACCTTTTTAAAAATAAAAAGTAAAGATTTTAGAGGCTTTTTGATAAAATTAAATTAAAGGAAATTCTTTATACATGTGTATGACTACTAATTTGTACACAAATACTCCAACAGTACAGTGCACCACATTATAGACAACCTGTCTAAACATACATACCTCTGGTTCTGTTTGTAAAAAGTGCTGCGTTTGTATTGTACTAGTACTACCACCACCTATAATAAATATATAAGCATAACCAAAATAAGCTCATTCTTGAAAGCAACTAAAGCTATTCTCAAAATAAAAATAAAATCTTAGGAAAGAACAAACAAACAAACTTGTGATCTACAGATTCTCCTAGTCTGCAAGAGCTTAACTGGGGGACCCTATTATCTTAAAGCCCTTTAGTAGTTAATCCTTTTATACTCTTGTCAACCGTTTTTACACAAAAACAAGACAGACATCAAAGAAAGACTATCACGCTCATGCCATTATGGCCCCTAGTGTGTCAGTCCATGTAAGTAGATCATAAATACCGTATTTTTCAGACCATAAGGTGCACAGGATTATAAGGCCCACTGTCAACAAATGGGTCTGTTTTCATACATAAGGCGCACTGGATTATAAGGCGCATTAATCGAAACAAAACAGTCAGATAAGTCAAACTTTACTCAACTCATTCCTCTTGCTTCCTCCACTTCCTTACAATTGATTCATTAATGTTGAATTCGCTGGTAGCTGCTCTATAAACACTGGAACAACAGTATGTTGTTCCAGTGTTTTTCTAACTTTTGCTATGTAACTTTGCACTGTCCACTTTCTGCTGTAACAAAACAAATTCCCCACGTGTGGGACTAATAGAGGTTATCTTATATTAATGACTAACCTCATATTGTGGCTGGATTATCTCAGTTGTTCTCCCCTACTGAAGTTTGGTCCGTTTACAGTAATTTTCCATGCAATTGCATTTGTCAAAAAAACCACATTGGGAACTTTTATCAAGTGGGAAAAAGTTAGTGTTCATTCTCCAGGTTCACTGTGTTATGCTTTGGTATGCTAACATAGCTGTGTCGCTAGCAATCACTAGCACAGCATTATATACCATCTAGCCCAACTTCAGTAACCCTACAAACATCACTATTGTGTAGTTTTCTGTCTTGATTCATGTTGGAAGTGATAGCAGAGCTGTACGTTTCCTTTTTCCCCCAAAAATCTCTCAGTCAGAACATGATATATCGTGTTTAGTTAACTAGCAAAACTAGCGAGCTAACTTTCTGCTAACTTCTAACTCCATTAAATTTAATATATTCTGTTTTCATGGATGCCTGGATGTTAAACTTAATTGTTACACCTGGTAAAGCAGCAACACTGATCATTTTATTAAAAATGAAAGAATTTACAGTGTTCGTTTGACTTTGGGACCTGACGCGGACTGAGTTTTGGACCCAGATTACTATGAGCCGCGAGGCTCCTGAATACGGCAGCCATAACGCTCAGACAATCCATCAAGCGGTGCGGCTTCGTAGCTCAGCAAAGTCCTACTAAAACATTGACAGATTTTTGAGCGGCGTGTACCACATAAAACCGGCTCGAAGTCAGTAAACAGCCAGAATTCATAGATAAGCTGCACCAGATAAGGCGCACTGCCGAGTTGAGAACATTAAAGGATTTTAAGTGCACCTTATAGTGCGGAAAATACGGTATAAGTGTTAACCACACAATGTATATAAAATATGGACACAGCAACCATGACGCCATCCATGCCCATGGACCCACTGCCTTCTCGTTTTACTTGGAGTAACCTACATTAGCAAGTTACATTAGACACGGTGTCTACCCTCTCAGTATTTGTCTAAATTTATTTAGTAGTAAAATTATTTGTTTCTGTGGTACCTGTATCAGTAAGGAGCTTTGTTGCCTCCAAAACCTTCTCTGTGTAGACTCCAGGTTCATAATTGTCCATCTCTGAAGTAACCACATGGACAACTCTGGCAGCACGGCCTCGAATAGCCCCGGCGGTACGGTCCAAACCATCAACATCTTTCTCTTGCAAAGCAATGACACACTTATTCACATCCTCCAGGATGTGGTTCTCTGGGGACATAAAGCAGTGTGAAATTATTAGTGTACAGCCCGGACGGACGGACAGACAGACCTCTCCACACACACCCACACTTTTTTTTATTTTAATCAAAAAGACTACAGTATAATATGACACATAATGTGACAGTCTAAAAAAAAAATTATTAGGAAGTTCTCATTCCTGAGTTAGTCCTGAAATTAAAAGCCACTGAAAAACTCAAGTACATAATATGAGTTTGTTGGAAGGTATGGGTTTGAAAACCAATTCTTAGAATACTTATTAATGAGCCGCCTATAAAATGCAAATGTCCACTGTGTAAATTACAGTCTGTCCTTGGCTGGAGGTCAGAGAAGCCACTCTGCTTAATGCTTAATGAGGACTCTAAACCATTTGTGTGCTTCAACATACATGACAGGATGTCAAATATAGATGTAGTTCTGTTCATGCTTCTGGGTTTTTCCTCTATAGCGCATAATGATACCTTGGAGAGTGAACCGATGCTTGTTGTTGGACAAAGGGAGAATTAAGATGGCTTATGCATCTTACATACATACGTTATATTTTAAATCAAATAACAGTGGTTAGTACTGCACTACAATCTCAATCACTCTGTTGTGTGGATAATGGTGACAAATATGGTCTTCTACGTTTAAACATTTTGCTAAGGCCACGTCAGATATATATCTGAGAAGTGTACAGCGTGACTGCAACTCACGAGGAAACACTACTACCACAGACCTTATAAAAAGGTTTTTCCTCCGTTATGCACTGCGTTTAGTCTATAAGCATCACGAATAATAAAATCCAGACCATTACAACTATTTGGAAAAACTTATTTTGTTTTCTCATGGCTATGACATGCAAATGAACAAGACTTACCAGACACACAAAGGAAGTCATCAATGGAGGTTATGTCATCGACAGCATCAGTGAGGACACGAACCTGCTTCTCCCACTGCTCCTTGAACAAATCCATATTGTCCTGGGCCACCTTACTGTTGGGCTTTGCAGCGAGGGCTAACGCTGCATTAATCACCTGTAATCACCCAATTACAACCATTAAAGCTCAATTACAACATAGCCTTGAGCCACAACATTAGCATAGGTTGATTGCACGAAGACCCCATTCCCTAACTCAATGTTAGGATTGAATTAGGAAGAAAATTAATTTCTAGAGGTGATTACAGGGAGTGTTTTTAGATACTGACTAGGGCAAAAATAATGGATTGTTTGTTTTGGACTAAGAAACATCTGTGGATATCATGGCTCAGGATGAATGGGACTCATTAGATGAGCTTAAAAAGAGCGTTAGCAGCAGGTGTGTGGAAAAAATGGACTCAATGGTCAAAAGATTGACAAGCAAAACAAACTTGTTATTCACACACACACACACACACACACACACACACACACACACACACACACACACGAGGTTAGAGACGTAAACAGATTTCAACTGTTGTTTGCTGAAGACAGTATGTGCTTGCAATTAAATTTATTGACTTTTGGATGTGCTCCAAGACCTGAGCTGGGTGACAGCTGGGGGCAAACATACCTGGGGGCAAAGACTTTCCAGTTGAGATGCAGCCATACGGACCAGCTTTACCCCTTCCTCATTGTTGGAAATGGAGCATGCCAGATTTGCCACCTACAATGAACAAAAAACAAAATTGTTAACCAAAGGCAAGAAATCTCACAAAAAAAAAAAAACAACAAAAAAACAAAAGAAAGAAAAACCTTCCAGTGTTGTGTCCATTGATTCTTGATAATTATTTAAGGTGTGTGAAGTCGCTAAAACTACTCATATGCAAACTAGTATAAATGTTTGTTTTCAGTACAAAGCTTTGTATCACGCTTGGCTGAGGTGTGGAGCTATAAATTATTCAAATAAAAAGGAAGAAAACCACAGTCAAAACTAAATTGTTCATATTCAGTGGTGGTCTTTTTTTGTTTATAACCCTCAATCAATATAACATTTGTTAAGACAATTTCAGTTTGTTTTAATATACTTTCAGCACATTTTCACAGCAAGTAACAAAACCGATAGCTGCGATAAATATTGATATTTGTGATAAGAAAATAATCACAATATGAAAATTTAAACACTTAATTGCTAGTGTCTGTCTTTCCATTGCTTGAAATGGTCCCTCTAACTCACAGGAACCAATAAGTGCAGTGTTGGCTCAAGCAGAGTGGGTGTTAGCAACCCAAATCATTTATCCATTTTGTTACCATTCCTCTCGCCACAAATCTCAGATGCTGCAAGCCTGTTCTGAATAAAGGCAGCACTTTGAACGGGGCACTGCACTAATTTTGAGAAAAAACAGAAACAAACGCCATACATACTGTAGATACATAATTAAACTTGGATAAGTTCATTATGGTAGCCTGGTTTAGGGATTCTTCCGTCAGAAATTGAGCAGCTCTGCAATACAACTAATCCCTGTGGAATACAAACCCACTGCTGTGGATTAATTTATAAAGCTGCTAAAAAGGATACAATATGATGACACAGAGGGAGAAACCAAAAAAGTAGGAAGAAAAACAAAAGCCCAGCTGTTGGGAAAGTTCTGTATTCAATTCCCAGAATAAAAGTAAATTTCACCAAATGGAAATCTAAGTTGTAGCTGGTTAACTCAAGGATATCGTTATTCTCAGTGACTGAATCACAAGACTGCCAGATTGCCATTACGCTCCTGGAGAGGCAAATATTAATGACACTTTCAAAAAGTGAGCAGTAGAGTGAGAACGGGAGTGCTAAACTAAGCAAATCTTGCCTGCAGCTGCTAACATCAGTAATTTTTTTCTGTCTTGACTAAAATAAAGCTCTCCTACAATTATCTCTAAATAGTCTTTCATACTCAAGTTTTACATTAGACATCTACTTATAGCGACATAAATTTTGGTCAAAGGCTTTGAAGATTCCCATTTTGGTTGGCATATACTGGCAGCAATGCTGTAACAGAATGCCTGGGATGTGAGGAACTGCGCCAAAATGGGATTATTCAACAGATAGAAAATGTGCTGAAACATAATCAATTACAAAGGACTAAACCAACTCATGACAGCAAAAGCACTAGGAGTCCAACAGCTTTGCTCTTATTTTTGTATTCCCACACATAAATCTGTTAAAGTTTGGTCACTAATTTACTACTTTACTGACGTCTGGGTCAAAAAGCACAACAAAACTGTCAGCCAAGGTGACACACTGAATTTTAAAACGTACATTAATAATATGCCTGATTGGAGCAAAAACACGAGGTTGGAAAAGGAATGAACAAAGCTCAGCTTAGGCATTCAATTTATCTTTTTCCTTTAATCAACTTCTATTCAAAAACAGGTTTCTGTGATGATATTCTCCTTCCTCTGGTACCATTAACAGACAGGGAAATAATACTTATTAGAAAAAACAAAAAACATCTTATTTGATGGGCTGGTGCATCACTGGCTGCCAAAGTATTGCAGTGAGGAGCCCCTTTCAAACCTTAAAATGTCTGAGTAATTTGCTGATGAGAAGCACTTTCTTCACTGTGTAGCTAAAGCACTGAAACATTGATATAAACATATTCTACATCGCTATTCAAACATACTGGAACCTGAGGGAGAACATTTAGTAATCCATGAGGACGAATGAAGAGTGGTTACATGAAGAAAAACTGGAAAGACCTGTGTTTTTACTTGCACGATCTTTCACAAAAGCTTTTGATGACGCCCCCTGTGAACCACTGGGAAAGGAGATGTTTCTGCATAGAGAGATGCCATTCTACTTGCAACACTGTACCATACCATTTAAAGTATCAGGGGAGCCCGACTTTACAGTCTATGCAAACAATTACAAAAGTGCACCCGTTTTCTTACCTTCCTGTCCTACAGAGCTATTCCTTAATACACAACCCCTTGTTAAAGAAGTACTCTGTCATCAACAATACCTACAAACCCAACTCCAAGAAAGCTGAGACATTGTGTAAAATGTAAAAGTGAAGAAGAAAAAAAAAGCAATGATTTACAAATCTCAAACCCATATTTCTCACAGTGAACATACCAAACATATGTTAAAGCTGAGACACTGGGGTTGCATTTATTTGAAATAACTATGGCCCTGTAACAGTTATCCCAATCAAGCAGTTGCACTAAGGACAGATAATCCAACAAACTTATGCTAATATCATGGATAATATATTTAGCATAAAATATCTTAATCACTGCAGTGGTTTAGTATCAGTGCTATTGAGCCAAGTATACAACTGCAGTGTGACCGTCCATACATCAAGCTTAAAAAAAAAAGTTATTGATGTTCAGGTCTAATGGATAAGGTATTCAGACACCAAATCTTTTTAAAATAAAAGGGTGTACAACTGGTCATTCACATGTCAATGACATAATACCACTGACAGGTAAGATTAAATACACTGATTAACTCCATGCACTCATGGAAAAGCTGATTACCAAGAGTTGTTTTACTGACATGAGGGAACACAATATTTAGTGACCGGTTTTAGAGTTATGGATAATGGGTGCAAGTTTGTTGTTGTTGGGTTTTTTTTTAACATTAAAAAAAGCAAGCTTTAGGGCAATGCTTAATTTTTTTTCTTAAACAAAAGAAATCCTTAGGTGGGGTTTACCAGTAAATTCACTTTCCACTGCTGATTATACCATCAGTAATGCACATCTCTGCATCTCAACCTGCTATGTAGCACATCTTTATGACTTATAGTGGCTTCACACTCCAAAGCTTATATTTCAGAACTGAGTGTGCACTCAAAAACAAACAACTTATCTAAATGAGGTAAATAAGTAACCCTCTGCATAATGTGACAACCATCCCTTTGCCTGGATGAGAGCACAGCTTGGTGCATGCCAAATTGAATGCAGTTTTTGTATCCCCCTCATTCTCTAAATATGGGTCAGTCATAATGTAGCTTTCATAAAAATGTGTGTAATGTAATAGGCCATTTGCCTTACGGCAGACTACAATTGGGCAACCTGCGATGTCATACAAAACACAGCCAGAGACTGGTTGCTCTTTGCTATTCCTGCTACTGAACAGAGGACATCCTACATTTAAAGCATTTTTGTTCCATATGTTATAAAGAAACAAACATGTTTCAACTTCTCTCTCTAGTCTTTCCAGCTCTATTGATTTGCATATATATTGTTTGGCAAAGGCTCTAATCTAGAGCGGCCCACAGCACAGTTCAATACCTACTTCCTACCATGCATTTGAAGGTAAATGTCAACCATTTTTATTTAAAGGTGAAAGCCAAGAGGTCTACTGTGAACTGCTTACTGTTCAGCCGATTGTATTGATGTTGGCTTACAGGAATAATTTTCCTGAGAAGTGAGATAATACTTGACTGTGTGCTTTTGCCAATCATATTAACCAGGGATGGGATACATAAAAAAAATAATTAAAAAGGTTAATGTAAAAATGACAAAATGCAATGTTGGCAGCTTCTACAAAGGCAGAAATCTTTAGCCAAAATGAAGAGTAACGTATGCAACTTCTGTCGAGGCTGTTGCAAAACATGATTTATAAATCCCAGGTCCTAGTTAGAGCTGGGCTCTCTCTAGGTTTGAAGGCATACATCAACTTAGGTTGTGAACGCTTGTGTTGCAGCAGTTGATGTTTGTCATTTTTTGGAAGGAACACACTAAAGAAAGTATGTGGAGGATAAAGATTACACTGAATATCTCCTAATGTAGATTTTGAAATGGGAATTTATGGCAACTGGCTCCCTTTTAGAAAATGCGTAATGAGCAAGAAAGTTACTTTGCCCAGTGCTTAAAACTCTACCATAATGATGCCCATCAACTCAGTGCCAAGATGCTGTTCAGTGGCTTTACTACACTACTAGCATTCCTAATTTATGTATGACAAAAACATATTTTGCTGATAAATATTTTAGTACAACTAGACTGATGTAGGAGCTCAGTTCAACTGCAGATATGGAGACTTTGGAAGTAAAATATTTTAGTTAAAGTCATGATAGCAACAATTACCACAACGAACCCCAGCTTTAAAATAGTATTTGGAGTTTACATTCTTTAAACATAATTTGTACAGTTTTTCTTTTGTGCTGCTGATAAGCGGTTTTTACAGATGCACCTTCTATTCTTAGATTGATATCATACAACATGTATATTCAAATGAAAACTGTAAGCAAAAATTACTAAAAGAAATTTCTCCATAAAGTTCATAACAAATTTAAGCCAAAACTACTTTGGTTTAAATGTAATTTTTTTTTTTTTTTTTTTAATTACACACTCCCCCCTTGTGTTTCTAAGTGTTACAAGCACAAATAGTAACCATGCATTAGCAAGGTCTAGTGCTCTAATGCCACATATGACACTCAGGCCTTCGGGTGCTACTTAAGGGGTTACTCCCCAGTGTTGTTGCCCACTCCCCCTTTCCTTCTGATGCTTCAATGGTTTCCCTGGTGAATATGCATGTTGCTTGTCCTGGCTAGTCTAACATATCCAGCTATACTCATGGCAATATGCCCATAGACAGAAGTCACTTTCAAATGTCATATGATGCTCTACACAGGCATTAGAGGAACGGAAGGAAAGACCACTAATGAGCCTGGCTGAATGTTCTGTTAGTTTCTTGCCTATCGAGTCCATTACTTTGCTTTTCTCCTTGCATCTTGAATTCTTTTTTTTAACCATGTATTGCATTCTCGTCTGTTAGTGGAAGGTTATGGACTCAAAACTAGATTTTAAAGATTACTCACGTGACTACTATGACAGCCTGAAACAGTTTCATAATGATCTAAATATTTTTGTTTCTCATACTCCACCAGTGTGTGAGTGCAAGAGTGAATGAATAGTGGCATTGTAAAGCGCTTTGGGTGCATTGAAAAGCGCTATATAAATCCAATCCATTATTATTATTATATAATAAAGAAAGAGCAATTTTGATGTCTTTGGCCACATAGCAATATTTTATTATTTTTCATTTTATGGGGAAAAGGATCCAGGATCTGCAATAGAGCTCCTTAAATATTAAGTTTAATAATTATCATTTCTTTATTTAATGTTTGTGTGCGAGAGTGTGACCAACATCAGACTGAATTGACCAAAGACCTTTAAAGAAGCCTTTTTAAAAGGCACAATAATGCTATAATCTTATCACAAGTTTTATCTCAGAGAACAGAAACAATAAAAATTAAATATGCAATACTAATGGGATAGAGTTGAAGCATTTGAGTGTTATGATCTGGGGGTGGGTCAGGTTCTGACTGCAAATGCACTGGAGAGAGAGGAAGGGGAAGGGAAAACAAAAAAACAAAACAAAAACAAAACACACAAACAAACAAAAAGAAAAACATACAATACCTCAATCAGTTTGTTGGCATGCTCACGGAACACCTGAGCATATTCCTTAACTTCTTTCTCATTGCCATTCTTAGCAGCTTCAATGAGGACCAGGAGGGGAACATTAGTCTCCAGGAAAGAGTCGGAGACATGGTCCATCACAGCTTTGCGCAGCTGTGAAATAAGATGATTTTTTGAAAAAGCGTTAGAATGCCCTTGGTGCATATCCTTTACATACAGACTGATGTCTACCACAGCTTTTTTGAACTACAGATTACATCCTGACATTATGAGAGACAAGAGTCTCCTGAGGTTTGCTGGTAAACTTCAAAAGGCTGAAGTAAAGAAAAAAATATTTGATTTGTTTTTTTCCAATAAAAGTTCACTGAGCGCAAACACTACAGTTTAAAGTTGAAGACCTAGTGGAAAGAGGGAAAAGGAAGTTCACAAAAAAAAAAAAGTACCTGTCTGCGAAGGTCTCTAGTCTTCTTTGTCATTCTATCAATGGCAGTGTTCAGAGCATCGCTTCTGTCCTTTCTTCCCGCCTGAAACATGGAAAAAAGTAGTAATTAGTGAGTAGAATAACGGTGACCAGCTCATGTGTCAAAAATCCTGAAAAGTCTTGGGATCAGATCAAATTAAATCAATATCAAACCTAAAATATTAAACAGTCTTGAGTAAATAAAAGGCAAAATGACAAAAATATTCATATCTGTAAATCATCCCTTGCATCTTTTCATTTTTAAACCAACAGGGTAGTTATACAATTTATACTTTAACGTCACCCAAACTCTTCTAGAGCAGACTTGGGTCACCCTGTAGGTGTTACTCTGAAATGAAATGTAATTTTCAACAAGCTTGAGCTATTCTGCTTCGTGGAGCTAATGTTTGGAGATACCAAGTCCAGTTCATTTCTGAAGCCTCCAGTTATTGTTCATTTTGTTCTCCAATAAACAATGACATCCTCCACCGACTCACAGCAAGTAATGCACCGACAGAATACCAGCTAACAATTTAAATTAATAATGTATACACACTGAAAGTAAACAGGGCAACAGCCACCACATTGGCTTTAATTAAAAAAAAAAAAAAAGATTCTTTGCATTATATCAGTGTCATATTTAATGTGCAATGCATCCTCTTACGCGTTTCTGTTGGTTGCAAACTGCTTTTAAAATCCAAAATTTTATTGAAGGGGGGGGGAAAGCTACCCAAATCCTTTCAAAGCCTCTCTACCACCACAGCGCTCTCCATGGATATGCTATAAAGACTTGCGCACAACATTAAAAGTAGTCTGGTAACAGCCAACGTTTCTAAATCCAATGGGCTGTCAAACTTGAAACTGTTGTAAATCATTTTATATTTGTCACACTTGTGATTCTAATTTGATTCAGGGTTAATAATATTACAAGTGCTCATTTTGTTTCATTATTCCCCCTCACTAATTTTTATTACAATGCTGCCCAAGTCCTTTGGTCATTTTGTATTAGAATAAGCCATTTATCTTCAAGCTTTAAAGGCCAACATTAGCTCCCAACTGTGGAAACTATTGAGAACAAAGTAAGGACTGGATTGGCTATCATAAGGTGACGTAAGTAGAGGTGACTTGTTGCTACACAAAAGCACTGACCAACTTTGGGAAAGTCATAAAGGCCCAAAATCATATCAGTCTTATACATTTAAACCTATGCATCCATTTCTGGTTTAAATAAGTTCTTAGTTGTATCCACACAAGCACTCAGGGGCTGCCTTGCAGTGAACACATTCGTAACTACTGAGTAGTTTTAGTAGAGAGATGTTTGATCACATTCTGCAAAGTACAAAAGAAAAACACTGAAAACTTTTAGAAACGCTTAAGATAAAGTGAGAAAGAGTGAAAATTCCCAGATAGTGGAGAGCCATAAAATTAGAGCAAAATTAGATGGACAGGAAAGGTCTGAGTAAAGGCAAAGGACCAGTTGGACTCTGGGCTCTTTTCCTTTATAATGCTTAAATCAACTGCAACGTAACACCATGGATGGCGGTAGCATTGACCTACCCCATCCCCCACTGCCTTATGCCCGTTTGGGGCTTGTGCACACAGTTAGGGGCCATGGAGCTCCACAGCACTAATCCCTGTGATTTTGTGCTGGCTGGATACAGTGCTGTGGTAGTGCTTTAGCCTGCTTTGCCCCAACACTTTCAATCCTATTTCATTCATGCCTAGCCTATATTTCATTTCCACGCCAAGGGGTTCTAAAGCACTTCTTCAGGTGCTCATTATGGAAGCAGTTTCTCTGTAGAATCTTTTATGATAGCCAGGTGAGTATATCCATCTCCTTTAGGACAGATTTAGGAACATCCCGTTCAACAAAAACCCACTAGTGTTTCAATGTAAGCAAGAGTCTCCTCTAAGAGTCAAATAATATGCAGTCAATATTATTGCTTTTCAAAGTTAATCTTAGTTGGATTAGTTATAAGTTATACATTTATTGAACTTTAAGTACAAATTAAGTATAATTTAATGTTTTCCCCCTTTTAAAATTTACGTTTGCAACACGCCAAATTGCCACTAAGCAGACGACACACAGACAGATGGAACATTCCTGTAAGGTCTTAGTATTTTTACATGTTTTCTCCCATTTTGAGGATGCAGGCTAAAATAGATGTGGAAAAATACAGCAACATGCAGGACAAATGACCTGCAAATTCACCGCCAGATAATGACGGGGCTTACTTTTTCTGTGTTCCAACTTAAATTGTGAAAAAACAGAAAATATGGAATTCACCATCACCAATCAAGTGATCAGTGTGCATTGTTACGTGCTTTCATTAAAAATCATTAAAAATGTTCAAAATCCAGATCAGATAAATTTAAGGAGACTGGGGCCGAAGAACCAACTTTGAGGAGGATACCATCTGTTCTTCATACCATTTCTGCTAAGTAGTCTGCCTGATTGCAATTTAATTTGATGCATATACCCCAAAATGCACCTCAACCAAACATTAAATAATGAAGAACTATAGGGACAAGGGATTAAGGAATTTCTCATCACCACGGTTCATTTCACACCTCGACTTTTCAGCTACCTCAGTTTTTCTACCAAAAGGGATGAACAGCAAAACAACAATAAACAAATAATTATTATTTATTTATTTATTTTTTAAAAAGGGGGATTAAAAAAAATTTATTTAAAAAAAACCCTCTGAAATGCAAACATTTTTCCAACAGAAAAAAATAAAAATAAAAATAATCACAAAATAGCTTAAGGTCAAGTAGATACATGTTAGCATTAGTAAATTTCAAATCCTTTTAATGCATCACATGAATAACCCAGTATTTTTCCTTGACCTTTACATTTTAAAAGCTAGCCTAACTTAACTTCAAAGGAGCTGGCAATTGATCACATGCCTGTCCTCAAAAGTTAAAGAACTGCAACCAGGATATGTAAATTTGACACCCTATGTTAGCACTGATGTAGTAAAACCTGTTTTGCTGCGTTCTCTCTTTTTATTTATTTATTTATTTATTTATTTTTAAGGTTTATGTCCTGTGTATACATTTATACATACAGTCTGCAGAACAGCAGCAATGCGAGACTGAGATTTACAGCTGTGGTTAATTTCAACAGCATGCTGCCGCAACACGTTCAAGATATCAATATTCTGAAGGTGACGAGCCAGTGGGAGGGAAGGGAGATGCAAGAGGGAGGTGGAGGAAGACTAAGGTGCACAAGCACTGTGTATGAGGCAGAGAGCAAGTGACTGAGCAGGAGAGTGAGAGGGTGTTTGTGTGTGTGTGTGGGAGAGAAAAAGAGAGAGAGAGAAACAGTAGTGATGATCGACGCCAGGCTGCCACCACTCTGTAGCAGTGAGTGGCTGCAACAAAAAAGCACAGAATAACATCCCTGACTCCCTGCTCTGCTTTTTTCTCTCTCTCCCTGCGTCTCAGCTAGCAGACGAGGGCTCCGCTCACAGCTCTGCAGAGGCTATGCTGAGACTGAGCCGGCGTCAGAAGCAAGATCTCTGGCTGCCATCAACAAGTTAGGGTTGGAGGACCACGGCAATGAAAGAGAAGCGCTTGATCTTCAATTAACGGTCTGAGCTGACACCATTGCGGAGGAAAGGAAACAAAAGGGTAAAAAAAAGAAAAAGAAGAAAAAGGGAGAGGGGGGGGTCTGATCACTGGAGTCGCTCTGGATGCAACTGATCAACTTAAAAAAAAATAATTTCTTCAAGGATTCGTGGGCTGGAAGAAAAAGACTCACTCTTCTATGAGCCTGGATTTTAAAGGACTAACAAAATTAAAGGACTAACAAAATAAAAGGAATAAACATCTAGTCGGGACATGGAATTTCATATTTTGTTTGAATTGGGTGGGTTCAGAATTGCTTTATTTCCCAAGAGGCTGATTCCTTTTGTGCTTAATCAAAAGGGCTTTTTCCCTTTGGATTTTTCTTCCATCTGGTTGCTCCAAGAGTCTGCGGAAAAGGACAGTTGAATGCAGCCTCCGATGTGCACAAAAGAATGGGTAAGTTAGCCCCTTTATATGACAGGTCTGGACATGAATAGGGAATACAAGTAAGAGTGAGGGAGGCTGAAGACTAAAAGCTCTTCTGCCTAGTCTATTTACTGCAATGGTCCTTCATGTTTCCTCTTTCAGACAGAAGAGTTGGGAAGACATACATTTTTAACATTTGAATCTTCTAGAAGATCTCATAAGTGATGAAAAAAAGATTTTTTTTAAAAAATTATTATTTTTTCCTGAACAGATAACAGATCTATGCTTTTTTCCTCCCCTAGGAAAAAAAAAGAAGCATAGAGCACTTAATAAAAAAAAAAAAGAACGACAATATTAAGAAAATTATGCTCGAATGAATAGCACAAAATGTGGACCAAAACAGGCTTAATATAAATGGTAAGGGAGAGGAGAAAAATGAAATGAAAAAAAAAAAAAAAAAAAAAGGGCACGTTACATTATCACTACAAGTGTGTAATGACCTTGTGTTAAACAGAAAAACATCAAACCTCTTTTATATTGAAAACAATTGAGCAAGATTGAACTTACATGCGGGACAGGCTGCCTACGCATGTCCCACTGAGTAACCTTTACAGTCATTAGCGACAATCAGTAAGTGTTGAAAGGATATTTATGTGTCCGTCGTGACTCCCCGAGTAGATGTACGGCCGCCCTTCATTTTTGTGAACAGTCACACACTGGATGGACTTGGTATGACCCTGTAGAAAGAATAAGCACACATTTGGATATATGGAAAGGTACACAAGACATTAACACTACAGTATTGCATCCCCACACAAATGAAAGACAGCACAGAGAACTGAAAACATTCATCTTTGTAATAGCCACAGTGCACATTTAGATGCTTCTGTGAGAAGTTTATGTAATGACTTGTTTTCCTGTCTTACCTACTAAACACCACAAGTGTATGATGGATACATCAGGAAGATGTGTCACAAGACACTTCTAGCCTCCTCACACAGACACCCTC